AACACAAGCAAGATCAAAACATCCCTTTTGATATTTTTGATAAAGGGAGACGATGGCATAGGTGAGACGGTTGAGTGAGTTGGCCAGAACGTCCCAGAAATGAGCGGACTTCCCAAACCTTAGGCATCCTCTGCTAGGCTTTTACCATACAACGAAAAGGCAACCTGGAATGTGTGTTCCGCGGGCAAACCGATCCTGAAAGGTTTCTGCTCCCAGGCTCAGCGATCAGATCGATCAATCTGGTTTCCGTTGAGAAAAGGGTAGGACTAGAAGGAAGGCAGATATCTCTTTCCGTGCTCGGAAGGATGGGAAGAAATACCCTCCCCACAGGTCCTTCAAGCGCTCTTCTCTACACTTCAGAGGACACAGCGGTCAGCTAGGGGCCACCCTCTAAAGGCACTGAGTGTGAGAAGCTCCTGGGGCTGTGAACGACTCACACTTAAAGAGTGTGCAGTGGGTGACTGCGTCCTCCCCACCTTTCCTCTCTCGCTCTTCCTTTCCTGGGCCCCTGGGTTGCACTAAGATGAATTGAGATCGACAAACCTGAACATGTTTTGGTTTGAGGTTTGGCAAACTCTGTAACTCCAAAGTATTCCACAAATGTTTTGTGTTCCGCAAAACCAAAAAACATTAGCCAAGCACTTCCCCCCACCCCTAATTTTTAAGCCCATGTGTTTTAAAGGAAATGTAATCCGTATGTTTTGGGTACATTTATATGCAGCTCATCAAACCATTCTCCTCTGCATGAGTCACTTGATGGCGAAAATATATGGGGAAGATCCTAGGTTTATAAGACTAGCACAGGCGGGCAAGAAACGAGGTGCTGGTTGGAAGTGGGAAACTGGGTCCTGCCACTGACACAGAACCACCCAGATTTGCAAATAATTCTCTGTATCCTCATCCATTAATCTCTCCCATCTGCAAAATGGCATTAATGATCACTGGCCTCATCAGATCCTGCGAGCAGTTAGTGAGAATTAACGTATAAATTATGAGGTAATTTTGACATTTATAAGAGAAAAATACAAAGGTCCTGAACTTGCCCTAACACAAGTTTATTATAATCCAGCTTGCCAGAGTGCTGGGGAGACAAATGGCATCTACCTTTAACAATTCATCCTCGCCCCATCATGAGACATATGACTTCAATGTCTCACAGTTTCATCTGCTAGGAGAGTCCCACCTGACTTGCTATACAGTTCGTTTTCTTCAAAACAGCAAAGGTTCTAGGTGAGTTGAGTAGTGGTTTTAAGTGGACTAGGGTTTTTAGAGGAATTGAGGGTTTTTGGTTTCTTCTTTTCTCTTTTTATTTTAAAGATGTGGGGTACGTAAGTGGTCTACATGTAGGTGAAGCTTGGGCTCCCATTGGACTTCGCTTCGCCTGGAATGGGATTGTGCCCCCTCATTGGTGTTGTGTTCCCTCCACCCCACCCACTTCCTGTTACTGCCGATCCCCTTCTTGTTGTAGTTTGATAGGCATTCAGAGTCCACCTGCGAGTGAGAATACATGGTACTCAGTTCTTTGTTTCTGTGATAGATCACTGAGTATGATAGACTCTATTTTTGTTTTGTTTTGTTTTTTACTTATGCTGAAGATAAAAACAAGTCAAGTATGAACTGTTAGCATGATAGAGCACAAGGTGCACCGGCTTTGAAGTCAGGCATACTGAGGTTTTAATTCCTGCTCCAGCTTTACTGTTTGACAGCAGGAAAGCTGCTTAACCTTTCTGAACCTCCATTTCCCCATTTGTAAAATACAAGTTGTTTGGAAGATCGGAGAAAACATAAGTTAAGGGAGGGTCCAGAACACAGTAACTATTGTACTCACTAATAGTACTTCAAGTAACCTGCAGGATTTGATGCGACATAATGAAGAATCCCCATGCTACCAGAAAAAAAAATTAAGTAAATAAAGCAAAGAAATGGGCTGATGAAGATCTACAGCTTTGCTTTCCTGGAGTCCTTGCAGAGAAGATCTACCTACTAGGCAGAACAGACAAATAACTATCTGCCTCAGGCAGTAAGACAATCCTCAGCCTTAGGGCAGGCAGTGACCAGGGCCCAAACTACTGTCAGCATAGATGAGGGTAAAGGAGGATCTTAGTGCTTGAACTGAGATATCGCCACGACTTCCTGACCAGAGGCAAAATCAAAATCTTCAAGGTGCTCAAAGCTGAAGTTCCTACAGCATAGATCTAATGCTGGTCAACACAGCTTATCTGTTCCCATTTTCTGTTCTAAGCCATGCCCCTGCCCCTTCATCCCTTCCTTCTCGTGCCACTTAGTCATGTTCTTGGGCAAGGATCATGCTCGGTAGCCATAGAGTCTTCTTGACGTTATACAAACACGTCTGGCACACGTCTGTCTTTGAACTTGCTGTTTCCTCCACCTAGAGTGTGTGTCTGACAGCTTCCTTTGCATCACTCATGGCATCTCATCAGACGGACCGCACCTGCTCACCCTATAAAAGTAACTCCCGTTCTCATGCTACCTCTTATCCTGATTTATTTTTTCTTTTTAAAATTTATCAATGATGGACATATATATTTCTTGATGTCTATGCAATACAGACAACAAATGGTCAAAGTACTTCCAGGTGGCGATTTCCAAGGATAGGATGCCTGTTCATTAAAAAGCACTTATTAAGGAATCAAATTCAATCTTAGAAAATGTGATCAAAAACTCTGAATAACAGTGATCCCAACTGGGAGAAAAAAAGTAAATTAAACAAAATAATATTTCAAGTGCCGAGAAGAAAATAAACACTAAATGCTACTAGAAATAGAGAAGGAAAAAAAAAAGGAGGAAAAAGAAAGTAGTTGAATAACTAACATCAGTATTTTTGAACACTGGAGGCAGACAGTTGTGTCTAGAGCAGAAATTCTTAACTTTTGGAACTTTTTGAAAATCTGAAGACAGCTATAAACTTCTTCTTAGAAAACTGTATACCTGCTCATCGACACAAAATTTTACTTACAATATCTGGGAGCTCACAGAACCCCTGAAATCCATAATCCATCTGTGAACTCCAAGTTAAAGATTGTGTGTGTGCGTGCGTGTGTGTGTGTGTGTCAGAGTCTCACTCTGTCGCCCAGGCTGGAGTGCAGTGGCACACTCACCGGCACCACAGCCTCGACCTGCTGGGCTCAGGTGATCCTTCTGCCTCAGCCTTCCAAGTAGCTGGAACGACCGGTATGTGCTCCCATGCCCAACTAATTTTTTGATTTATTGTACGGATGAGGGCTCACCAAGTTGTCCAGGCTGGTCTCAAACTCCTGAGCTCAGGCAACCCTCTCATCTTGGCCCCCCAAATTTCCAAGCTAGAGATCTTAAAAACCTTTGCCATACATGGCCAGCCTCTGGAAATAGCCTATCGCAAATGTCCTGACCCCAAAGAATGGCCACCAAGGCAAGTGTAGAGGCCTCTGTATAAAAGGCCAACTTCTGTCTCTGAGCTTGTAACTAACAAGGTCCTCAGGAAGCCGAAAGTGCAGAGTCTTGAAAATAAGGCTATAGGAAGTGGCTCCCGGGCACATTCTGGTGACCTGAACATGGAAGGACCTGAACATAAGCTAATGAGAAGGAAAAGCATGGCTCACCTGAAATGGAAGAAACAGATAGTCATTCTTCATAGACTGCATTTTGAAAATAAAGGGCTTTCTCTTATTATAAACAAGGGATTTTCCAACAAGAAAATATCTGGTCTGGAGTCCATATGTCTGAGTTTTAGTGTGCTCTGCCATTAGCTAGTAGTTGCTCGACCTAAACCATGTTGCTCATTTTTATTATCTGCAAACTGGAAGTTTAAGTGAATTTTACTTTACTCATTACATATGAACTTAAAGAATTCTGAGGTAAATAAAAGTTTACAGAAATCTAAATGTATTCTAAATATACAATGAGTTTAATAGAGAAGTGATTCATGGGTTATTTTGAAAATGACTGATTTTTAGCATAAATCTGGGTTCTGATATAATGAACTGTGCATTTCACAAAATGGTTCCAAATAAAAATTTTGGGTTTATTCGAAAACTCTTGCAGAGAGAATATGAACAATAATGCCTGATAATCTATCATTTAAATATAAATAAGTACCTCCAAACTATAAGGAAAATCTGACCATTAAAGTAAATAGTTGTTGCAAAGTTTATGCACTTTATGAAACTGATGTGTCACATTTTTGGATTCAATATGTCTATATGAGATTAAACTTTTTCATACCATAAACTTAGATATAGCTAGTATCCCTACTTATTTCAGTTCTCTCCTAACTTCCCAAGGATAACAGATTTTAATTTTATATATGAAGGGTGAGATCGAATTTAGAGAAAATAAAGAATTAAGCAGAAAAACAACAGTTTCTAAGGCCCTTTATAGCAGGAGAAAACTTCAGCAGTTTCTAAGCATTTCATTATATAACAACCTAGTCATAAAGATGGAAGTTAACTGACTAAGAAAAGAAAGTGGTACTCTACAAACTCTCCTTAATCATGGAGGAAATAGTTTGTATCTTTTGGAATAGTTTCCTAGGAGAAAAATGGTTAAATTTTTTCACAAATTTTTTAGCTCTTAACATTTCTGAAAAATGTTATTTGTCCACACAATTCCTTGTTTCCTGATAATGCAAAAGATATGAAATATCACTGCTGTGGTAGCCACGTATAAATTCTTATCAGAAAAAATAGCAATCTTTTGAGGACAACAAGTTACCATAAAATTTTTTTTAAGTGACTGCATTACCAAGCATGATGTAGGGAGAAAAACAACATTAGGTATTTGATCTGGTAACTTAGATTGTGTTAGCAAATAATTTGGAAAGTTTGGCCTTTGAGGGTAAGCTACTTTATGCTTGGATCCACTATCCATTTCTCTTTGCCTTAGTCAACACAGTAGCAGAGCATATAGGTGTTGCTGGAAAATCAGAAGCCAAGAGCCACCAATGGGATGTGGAGGAAGAAATGTCACATAGAAAAGAAAGTCTATTCCCCAATTATTCTTACCTGTTTCTCCCAGAATCTCTGAATCCTTTAGCAAAAGGGTTTCGGTCAATTTTTAATCTGGTGATCTGGAAACAAACAAATAAGTATGAATTGCTTTTATAGTAACTGATTTCTTTTTTATTACTCTTAGAAAATTAACAAAAATCACTCTGTTAATAATAGCTGTTGCTGTATTTTATTTCCTTTTATTTTGAGGTTTAAATTGAAGTCTGGCATAGGACTTGGCCTGGCGCACAGATGTCTGGCCCATCTGACTGACTTCTCTTTAAAGACCAAAGTTTACCCAGTGTGTGACTCAGTAAACTCTCTTCTACTCATCTTCCTTGCCCCAAAGTGTTGATAAATCACTTGCCTAGACAGATACTGGGATGAAAAACTGGGCAGTAGTCAGGGCCACAGTACAAGACAGACAGGAGCCACTTAATCCAATGCTTGTTGAATAGATGAGTAAATGAATGGAGAACGAGTGAGTGAATAATGAATGAATGAATTCAAGCAATTCAGTCAGGTGGACTCAGACCACCAGACAGTCTGCCTCAGACTGAAAAACCCAAATAATCGACTGCATTTTCCATTTCACTCCATCTTGCCTTTCCCACCACTAGGAGTTGTTCATTTAATGACCTGAAATGTTCAGGTAAAGAGAAAAAAAGTAGCTAGACTTTTGCCAGGGTTTTACCCAAAGGAAAATCCCCAAATGTGAGACCGAATGGGACAGAGTGCAGTCCACCTCATCTGGTCTTCAAGACTCACAAGCGAATCAGAAATAACAATGAGGCAGCTTCATGAGACTCAGCAAACCCAGCACATCCAGTGAGCCAGGTTGGACAGATCCTCAGGGGCCATCTGGTTTAACCTCCCCTCCGTGCATAACCTCATTCTCCACTGTATCCTCTCTTAGTCCTGGCAAACCTTGCCATGGTAGTACACATTATCTAGACTGAAACAAACCTGACCAACACATTCCATATGCATGCTAGTGTTTCCGCTTTCAGCCATGGTCACAGGAGGCATTCTGACACCTTTGTGTCTGAACCAGTTGATAATGACTCAATATATTCAAGCAATGGATACATAAGGGTGGGGCTAGAGGGCTCAGGAGAGAAAGAAGGCATTTTCAACACAAGGTGATTCTAGAAAGAAGGAAAGCACACTATTTAAACCCATTGTTGTCTTTCTGATAGTTGCAGAAGTCTATCGCCTATGTTGCAAGTCTTTCCTATTCTCTTCTGCCTCATTTCATCAGGGTGGAATTTTCCAAAGCCACCGTTTTTAAAGGTCTTTAAAATGCAATGTGAGAGTCTAGCAAACAGACTCTGACTTGAAAAAAGTCTTCAAGACTTCAAGATTATTTTCTCCTTAAACATTCCTTGCCTCTAGAATGGCACACTGATAATGTAGCACTAATAACATGGCAAAAGCAATTTTACATGTATTTTATAGACCAGAGCAGGAGCCTAAAGTTTTGGCTTTCTAAAGTCCAGTGTCTGCCATGTGAATACTGTATTGTATTTAAAGAGTGCCATTGCTTTTCTGTGTTTTACTTAAAATCAGTTCTTTCTTCCTCCATAATCCACAGCAATAAACCATGCACCATATTTTCTTTTCAAGTTGGGGTTATAATATTTTATTTTCTCTTTCAAGTTGGCTTATCCTGTCCAACTCATTTATGATAGGCGTTTCTGATATATGACTGTGCTGACATGTTTTGGGGGTCTCCACAGACCACTGTAACTATAACAACACTCTACTTCATGGACCTGAGAGAAATGGTTGAAAAGCCTATTTCCCATAGCTCATTGGATTCCAGGTCAACGGGTATGCATGGAAATTTGATAGACAAATTCGCCAAATGTTTAGGAAAACTGATACCTCTACACTTGTTTCAAAGCTCTTAATGTGAGATTTAGAGAGCTTTATGAAGAGCATGGCTGTGCCATTCATTGTTTATCATCAAGTGCCTCTTATGTGCGAAGCGATATGACAGGCAACACAGGTGACACAGTGGTGTTCAGTCAGTGTATAGCTGTGTATCATCCACCTTCCCCCCCAAAAAGTCGATAATCTAGAAGAACAAAGCAGACATGTGCACGGATAACTACAATATAAAACAGAAGGTGATAAATTTCACAATGAAGGCAAAGTACCACGGGAGCTTAGATGAAATAGCAATTACTCCAAGTTGAAGGGTTCTGGGTTTAATATTAGAGATAACATGTGAGCTTGGCTTTGAAAGATGTGCGGGATTTTAATGAAAAATACAAGAGTGGGAGAAAAGAACAAGAGAAACATCTCATAAGAAAGGCCCTATGGTAAACCAGAGCATCAAAGTGGAACGAATGATATGTATTCCAGAAACATTGAGGAGTCTGATTTGACCAGAGCTATGGGAAGAGGAGCAATGAGAGAAGGTAGGAGGCCAGCTTGAGGCCACATCCCGGGAAGCCTTTGTTACTCTGGTCGGGCTTTTAGATCACTCAACAGGCAGAAGAGAGCAATTTTAGCTGTATGAACCAAATGATGATCCCAGCTAATGCTTATGCTGACAACTTTGGCTGCGTCTACAAATACCAAGGATAACAGTGACAATATTTTAGAGGATGAAATCAATGTATTTTTTAAAAGTTGTTTTATTTTAAAGATGTGGGGTACAATTCAGGATTAAGTATACAAGTGTGACGTCATCATACAGGTCATGCTTGGGTCTCCCCTTAGTCCTCACTTGAAACCAATGTATTTTTAACCTCAATAATCTTTAGTTTAGTCTCATGGCTCCCAAATCAAGAGGAAGCCTTGTTGACTCGGATATGATGAGTGTCTTTCATAGTATTAGGTTGATGTATAAGTTCATAGCATTTATTTGTGGCACGGCAATACTGCAGTGTTGGGAGTTTATCGCTTGTCATTTTTCATTTGGAATGGCAATACAGTGTTTGTGACTACACCTTGCATTTTGAAGATTTGAAGAAAGAGCTATCTGTGGGCTAAAGAATATGGACTATCAAGGGGAAAAAATTAACACTTCAGACATGTTTTTCTGTCTGAGTTTAACAGAGGACCAAAGGCAGAGGAGGCGGCTCAAGATATTTGTGCCTTGTGGAGGGAGAATGCCATCAGGGAAAGCATGGCAAGAAAATGGTTTTGTTGTTTTAAAGAGGGCCACTTTGACCTGAGTGATGCTCCACATTCAGGAAGGCTATTGGGCTTTGCTGAAGACCATTTAAACACATTAGTCCACGATGGTCCCTGTCAGTCAACCCAAGAATTGGCAAAGGCATGAAGTGTGACAAATCAACTGTCATGCAACAACATTGGCATTCCATGAGCAAACAAAAAAATGCTATGAACTGATGCATCAACTCAATATAGAAAGAGATGCAAATGACAGCTGGGCCAAAAGGCTTGCTGTCTTATGAAAGGCAAGACTATGATATTAGGTGGTTTCTCAAAAGTTAAAAATCCTCAGACCAGATAGCGTGACTCATGCCTATAATCCCAGCTCTTTGAGAGGCTGAGTCAGGAGAACTGGTTTAGCCCAGGAGTTCAAGATTAGCCTGGGGAGCATAGCAAGACCTCATCTCTAAAATAAAAATCAAAAATTTATTTGGGCAGGGTGGCACATGCCTGTAGTCCCAGAAACTCAGGAGGCTGAGGTGGGAGGATCACTTGAGCCTAGGAAGTTTGAGCTGTGATTGTGACACTGTACTCAAGCCTGGGCAACAGAGTGAGACCTCAACTCAAAAACAAAAACAAAAACAAATTTCCTCCCCTTCTCATACCTCAGTGGAATAGGAGAAAAGGGAAGATAGAAAAAAACAGAAGCGAGCAGTTAGATTTCACATGCCTTAGATTCTCCATTCAAACCAAAACCAGGAATAAAGGTGGGGAAACTTAGAGAAAATGGACAGGGTGACCTTCATACATATATGGGGTGGGTTGCATCAGAATATAAATGCCACCTTGTAGGATTAAAAAGGAAGAGGCCTGAGCATGTACCTCCAGGATTCTCATGGCCCCTCTTTGTTGGGTAAGGAACTCAGAAGTCCTCACAAGCCAGACAGGGAAGGGAGAGTGACTGTGACACAGACAAGCTACAGTCGACTCAGGAGTCAAACAGAAGATGTGGGCGAGTCCTGAGGTGGGGCTGAGCCAGCAAGGAAGACCCTCGAGACTCTGAGCAGGACAAGAAGCCAAAGCACAAATTCAGCAGTCTCTTACAAGGAAAGCATCTTGGCACCAGAGACCCAAGGACAGACCAGACCAAATACCCCACAGTAGAGACCAGTGAGCCCAGAAAACAGCACAGGAACCCACAAGCAGCCACGATGATTGCATATAAACCTCCTCCCCAAATGCTATGCATGCAGTGTACATCCAGAGACAATGGAGTAGAGCAAGGAAAAGGGGTATATACATATATATACTATATTATACATTATATGGTAATATAATATATATATTTACCCAAAGTAAATCGACTTACATGAAGAAACATTTCATCCCAAATAGAATTGAAAAGTTTACATTTCCTCTTACCCTACCCCAATACAGAGGCCAGAGTTTCTCAGGAAAATCAGTTATAGAAAGTGATACATATATGGCACATTTGAGTAGTTTATTTTCAACCCTACTCCACAATTATATTTATCAGATAGACCCAAATACAGCTATCTATCTCTACCTCCCTGACCACAGACCAGGTCACCATCATCTCTTGACCAAACCACTCTAAGTGGCTTTAGAACGGACCTCCCGTCTTCCACTCTTGTGTCTGTCTAATCACTTCTCTACATGGCCATTCAGGTGGTCTTTGATAGCACACACAACTGGACTGTACAGTTCTCTCGTGGCTACCATGGCTCAAAATTCAATCCAAGCTCCTTGCACGGCCTCGCAGGGCAAACATGCCCTGCCTCCCGCCCACTGTTTCATCCCTACCAACACGCCTCTGCCCTGGTCCGTAGACTCCAGCCAAACTGGGATGTGCCGAGTTCTTCCCGTGCACATGATCAGGCCTCTCACACTTGCTCCATACCTGGATTTTTTTTAAATGTTCTTTTCTCTA